TGGCCAGTTCTGGGCAGGAAAGACCTTGCCGCTATGGTGCATCTCCCCGGTAATATCCACCTTAGTTTACTAAAGAGTTCTCCGCATGAAGCTACCACCGAAGACTGTTTCGAAGCAACAGTTGGTACAAAAGGCTGACTGGCGTGGGTTGAAGGGAGGAACATATGGCTCCAGTCTTGTTCCAGCTATGCAGGTTCCCAGTTTGCTTCTAGGCCCAATTCAAGGTGTTAGTGTTGATCTTTTAACGCTCTATACAGTTCATGTCCAGCATACCTGAAGGACCCCGTATGAACCTACCTGACCATTGCGGTAATCTCCAGAGTTTTGGGTGCCCCGGCCGTCTGAGAAGCTAGGCAGGGGGCAAGCTGAGAAAAGGCCGCCTCAATCATGGCGCTGAAAAGTTGGAACTCCCTCCCCAGAGACTCATGTGCCATCCTCTATTGTTGTCTTCTACTAGCAGGAGAAGGCTTTCCCCCAGTGTATCTGTACTTACCTGTATTCAGGTGGGTAGGTGTGTTGGTCTGAAGTAGCAGTTTGAGTCCGGTGGCACCTTCAAGACCAACAAAGTTTTATTCAAGGTATAAGCTTTCCTGCATGCACACTTCTTCAGATGCCGTGGAACAGAATTTCTTCAACCATTATATATGGGGGGGGGAGTTAGTTGCCAGGGAGGGCCAATTAGAGTTAAGACAGAGACAAAAAAGTAAATTACCAGTCCATCCATATCGGCAGAGGGTGCTTTGGGGTCAGGAAGCAATTTTCTCCAGGCCAGTTTGGCCAGGGATCCTGGAGGCCCCCCTCCCATCTTCTAGGCATAGAGCAGGGATCACTATGGGTGTGAGGGGAGGTAGTTGTGAATTTCTTGCACTGTGCAGAGCGTTGGACTAGATGACCCTGTAGGTCCCTTCCACCTCTATGATTATGCTGTATAAGTATTTACTGCTTACCCTCTATTTTTATGTGTGCACTGGTAATTTCCGTTGTTGTTTCTGTCTCTGTCTTGACTCTAATTGGCCCTTTCTGACAACTAAACCCCACCTCACCCTCTCTCTCCCTATATGTGATTGCTGACGAAATCCTGTTTCACTGTATCTGAAGAAGTGTGCATGCACACGAAAGCTTATACCTTGAATAAAACCTTGCTGGTCTTAAAGGTGCCACTGGACTCAGACTTTGTTGTACTTACCTGTCTATTTTATAGTTTGCCTGTGTGTTTTGCTTGCTATTTCCACCGATGTCTTGAACATCTAAGTTAACTTCCTTTCAGACCTTTATGTGCAAGGACTGTAGTCAGCCACCTCCTATTCCTGCATTGATAAAGTATGTACATACTACTAGAATGCATTTCTTTCAGTGGACTCCTACAACCCTCTGACACCATTGTGTCCTCAGCCTCTCAGACACATTGCATGCAGTGTTCCCTCTAAGCTGAGTTAGTGTCCGCTAGCTCAGTTTTTTAGCCTCTGGCTCACACATTTTTGTCTCAGTTCAGGGAGGATGGCTCCAGAGCAAACTAATATATGCAGCAGCCAAATCACTCATCCACAACTTTAATGCCAGTAGCTCACAAAGTAGAATTTTTGCTCACAAGATTTCACAGCTTAGAGGGAGCATTGATTGTGTGCCTGATCCATTTTGTTTCCGCTCAGAACCTGAAGGCCAAATCAGCACTATGTGAAAAGGCAAAATGCACTATGCGAAAAGGCTATAAAAAGCTGGATTTTAGATTGTATAAGGGGCGGGACCCGCGATACTCGCGGGGGGGGGGAGCTCCACACTTCTGAAGCAGAGGAGGAAGCAACAGGAGGCGGTAAGTTCCCCCCCATCCTGCCGGTTCCCCCCGTCTGCTCCACCTCCCATCCCCCCTAGATCTCCCCCCCTGGCTCTCTTCCCGCCCCCCGCCCG